TTTTATGGTTAGTCATACCTCTCTCTTAGAGTGGAAATGATTTTTTTGTTTACATGGTGTATTAGACAGATTTGAAGGTCAGAGAGCTAAAAATAAAGGCTATCTCCTGTGCAGAAGGGAGAATCATTATTTTCTTGTTAACCTCCAGGAATCTGCAAGAACTTTGGAGTCAGTCTAAACATTTTTGATTCAGTTTGGTCAGGTGCCAGCACCACTTGATAGAGAAACTACAATGCCCATGGTTTCATAACATGCTACAGTTCAATGCAATGTGGTGTAAAATTGTATTAATTCTACAATGTAGATACGGTACATCCTACATTTTTGTACTAATTGACATGGACATCAAGTAGGAAACATGCTGTGGTAAAATATAAAATAAATAAAGCACCATTCTAAATGTTTCTGACATTTCCATGAATGCATAATGCTGTATAATATCTGCATCTGTTGTGCAATTTGTTAATAAATTAAAGATGGAGTATATTGAGTCAATATGAAAGCTATTTAAAAAAATTGGTAATGCTGTAAATTGTCAACATAGCAACACTGGGTGTTTTAAGTAAAAACAAATAGCTGTTATTAAAATCTTTAAAAACAAATAGTTATTCTCAAGCGGTTATTCTTAAAATAACTGTTCTTAAAATAATTGTTCTTAAAATATGAGTATACATCCCAATTCTTATTGAACCACAATCATATACCTGATTTTTAAATGTGCATTGCATTACTTTTTAGATAGCTGAAGATTTCTTATTATTATTTCCATTGTGATAACAGATTATAATCAACAGAAAAAAATCCAAAAGCAGCACATAAATTTTTATGGTTGAGCAAGTATTGCAACATGAGTAACCTATGATCCTGGATTTATTTCAGCAGAAATCTCATTGGATTTCATTGAGCCCCCCCCCCCCATTTTAAGGTGAAATTATTTATTTATTTATTTATTTTATTTTATTTTATTTTATTTACAGTATTTATATAACGCTTTTCTCACCCTTAGGGGTGTATTGCATCTTTAGGTATTAATTTCCCCAGAAATGAAAAACATGTTTTATCTGTGTTATATTTGGCAAATTGGACTGAGGGTCACAATGCTGGAAAAGAGCTTTGAAATCTTTCTGGAGCAGAAATAGTAACATAAGAGTAGGTCATTTGTTTAGGAGTACAGTGATAAATCTATCTGGCAAGTGTTAAAATAATACAGTGAAAGTGATTACAACATACTTATTTGGAGACCTACCTTTCCCTTCAGCCAACTGAATTTGCTCTCCCACCAGTGAAATCACGAGACAACACCACGGTGTGGGCTAACTATGGGCAACTTTTATTATATGTTGCGAATGAATTTCTGTGTGATCTACCAACCAGATTTAAGGATTAAAACATAAACTTGAACTTGAACTTGCACTTGAATTTGTTATGTCATAATGTGAGGCAGTGGCCCTCAGAAACCACATCATCCTCCAACAAGAGCCAGACACCATGGTCCCTGGATGCAACCCACATGTTGCTCCCAAGGGGACCCTTCAGATAAATAGCTTAATAATTTAGCCTCTGCTTATGAGGTCGAGGAAGTGAAGCAGACAGGAAGTGCGCTCTGGCTGGCCCCACCCAAAACAAGTCCCTGCCGTGACCAATTTGCCTCTCCTTTCACTGGAAGGAAGGGTGGAAAAGAAATTCCCATGACATTGGCTAACATGGGACAAGGCAGTATTAAGGTTGTCTTGCCTCCTGTTACTTTGAATCAGCTCTATGAAGTATTTGGCCACCATGAGTCCCATGCACCTCAACACTGAACTAAGTGATCAATGTGGTGATGCCAAAGTGGTGTTAAATTAATTATTTCTATAGTGTAGATACAAATTTTGTTTCTGTTATTCTAGGTACCTAGTCACAACATTTATATCTTTTTTTTCTTTTATCTCATTCCCATTCTTCTACTTCCTTGTTGAAATAATGGTGTTTTAGAAGATTTGTTCTATTAGAGCCTACGATTTCTGAGTGTTCTTCAGGTCTTTTTGTCACGGACTTAATTCATTTCAAACTTTCTGTTCAATTGAAGGCTCTTTAATCTATTTTAATAATTTGTTACATTTATTTATTTATTTTAAGTGGATTTCATTGTAGGCTGCAAAGAGTTTTTCAATTAATGGGCAGGATATTATAAATACTTATGGAAAGAATGAAATACCCTTTCTAATGTTTTACATCTAATTTGGTATCCTGTTTCTAGCAGTGAGCATACTTAATATATGCTATTGACAATTGTTTAAATAATTAAATTGCCCAGAGAAGACCTCACCTTAAATTCCCTTAAGGGGCTGCAGTACACCTTTACTTGTATTTTAAAAATCTTTCCATTGTGAATGTTCATATGTTGGGATGGAATAACAATTCATTGAAGACCATTTTCATTTTATTCTCATAAATGTCTATAAGATTGAGTAAAATTGGACATTATTATCTAAATAATAAATTATCTGCTCTGATGAAAATACATTGTTATGTGTCCCTCTCTTAGAGTTGCTGGTTCAGTAATATCTCCATTAATACATGGATTTAATCGCTGTTCTTGTGGTTTAACTGTTGGGTTTTTTCATATTAGTTTTCAGGGACAATATTTGGAAATCTGTTCTTGTTCAAGTATCTTAAGTAATACATCTCTTCAAGAAAACCGAATCAGAATATTCATTTGTAGATTTATTTCTGTATCAGCCTACACCTTTTAAATAAACAGATGGCAGTAAGATCACTACTGTTCACAGAGAAAGAATGGTCAGTTATATCTACTGGACATCATGTGTAGTGGTAAACTGAATAAGTGACCATCAGTATACGTACATCTTATTTTAACACTGGCCGTATGTTTGCAGAACAGTGCATATGAAGACACCCACAAAGTGTTAGTTCAGGATAAACTCCCTTTGACAAGTCCTGGAATAGGTTGCTTTCCAGCATTTGTCTTTTTTGAAATTTAATCTTGAAGTACAAGTGACATTGTTGGTTCCGAAGTAGTGACATCCACATTAAGGACTCACTTCGAGCAGTGTTACACCAACTGCTTTGGATGACTGTTTGCTGTCATCACAATGTTTTGGTCATCAGAAAAATGAGGGTATACTCACAGCAACATCTGTCTGTGATTATTAGCATGGATATTAATGGGGATAGAGGAAGTAGTGGTGGCCTCTGGTGATATCACTTCACAAAGCATATAATCAGTTTATAAATTTATAGTTCCCTGTTTCAGAACCTCAAAGTCATCACTATAAATTATGTTCAGTATGGGCTAAGCTCAGAAGGAGAGTCCAATACATGTTCAGTATTCTTCTGCACATCTTTGGTAGAGCTATATAATAGCTGACACCTAGCTGAGATGTTTTTTGTCTGATCTTTGCTAAAGTTCCATATCCACAATTGCTACTAGAAGATTTCAAGCTTTGTAGTGGTATTTGTAATAAAGTACAACTTAACATCCACCACACAAAACATAAAACACAAGCAAATAATGTCATGTGGATGAATGTTACGATGAACAAATAAAAAGTAAAGAAATGGCTCAGAACTATTCTTTGAATGCTTTTAACATAATTAATTGCTATCAATGTTAGTATTTGGATGAAAATGGTCATATTACTTACAGAATGGAATCAAAATAGTTATTGAACGGTGTGTATTTATTGGCTTACTATATTTTCCTTATGCAGTGCACATGATAACTTAAATACATACTTAAATCATTACCAATAACAACAACAAAAATAGCTCCAATCAGAAAGTTTGAAAAAAAGCAAGACAAGAAGGATAATCACTGAAATCATCATTCTTCTACATGACTGTAAAGGTGGATGGGGGGAACCTTTTACTGAGAGGAGTGAAAATCTAAGGTTTCAATTTTTAAAAATACTCTCAAGAAGACTACTTCCACCCCTTCCCTCTTTTCATGCTGCTCATTCTAACAGAAAATTTGCACACAGATTGAATGCATTATACTGCTTCATGTGAATGTTGGTTTCTCAGTTCTTCCTGTAAATGCCTTTGGAAATAATGTATGTACTAAATAGAGAAAGAACCCTTCACATATTTTCTTCTGGTTTAAAATGTGTTTCGGTTAAGAAAACATACATTTGAGACATACAGTTCCATAATTTTCAGAGCAAGTTGCAGCTTAATGAAGCTTTGGCAGAAAATGCAAAATCTAGGATGCTAATAACATACTAAGATGTACGATGTCCTGGAGATTAAAACATTCCCTAAGCCTACAATTATGTCAGTTGAAAGCTTGATATGAAGAGACACTTCTCTCCATTTCCATTTTGAACAAGGTCATAGAACAACAGAGAGCAATTTATCCCAGCCTCTGAGCCTAGAAATTTGAAGTCATCAGCTGGTGATGTCTGGCCATTTAATAACCATCTGGATGAACTTAAAATCAGGTGTCAAATTTGTACAATGTGACAATATCGAAACATTTATCCAGTTTGCCCATTGCTAAATAATTATTTGCTTAAAGAAATAGTACTGTCTTCTCATCTACCCCCGTTACTAGTTCAGTATACTGTACCTGAAAATTGATGTAAAAGACACTCTTTTAGGATTTTGGGGATTTGGGGGGGGGGGGGTTGCTTGCTAATGTGTATACACATTATTAAATTGCAGCACACCTAAAGATCCTGATGAATAGAATATCAAATTCTCAGATATGGCCACCTATACATACGGTCACATACAGGCTTGCTTTCTTACCTTGGGTCATTGAAGTGAATGGACATCACAAGGATTGAGCATTTAAATTCAGCTTGCCATCTACAAAGAAACAAAATATATTTATAGCAATAGCAGCAGTTCTATAACAGATGCCATACATTGACACCAACATCAGCAACCACAACTGCGGTCTAATTTTGCACTAACTGCCTCCTTTAAAAAGAGTGCTTACAAATTAAAAACAAAACCACATGGATTTTTATTGATATATTTTACTTTGCTGGCAGACCAGAGCAAAGGTTTTCTGAACATTTAAAAGATGACAAAGGTGAAGAATCCCAGAAGCGATTTATCTTGAAGCGAGATAACTCTAGTATTGATAAAGACGACAATCAGGTTGGTTCTTGGTTCAAAAGTTACTGGAATTCGTTCTTTGGTTTCGTTTTCTTCATTTTTGTTTGGAAATGGGCTGACTGGTGTTTTTGACCTTCCTTTGTTGCTGCTGCTTCCCTTTCCTGCTCCTATGTATCCCCTCATCTCCTGCTCCTTCTGCCTGGTTTGTGGCACACAGTGAAATAGCATCAAGCCATAAGTGTATTTGTTTTAGCCATGGCAGTTTGCATGGGCGGTTTTGCTTGGCACAGGAAATGCTGCATGTTGAAGGGTGATTTGGAATGTATATAGGGGCCTCAAGTCAAGGGGGAAACTGTTGTCAGCTGTATTTCGGCAAATGTCTCTATGGCTCTTATGTGCCCTGGTTCCCATTCATACAGTCATAACAACCTGTGGGGAGATCAATTAATATAGACTAATAGTAGCCACCAAGCGAGTGGAAATGTGGAAATGAGACCAGACCGATGTTGCAATCATATACATATGATTTTCACTTGGATAAAAATTGCTTACAATTTTAGATTCCCTCATCTCTATGTTTTATTGTAAGTGATGCTAATTTGCTCGGGTTTTTTGCATGGATGTGGCAAAAAATATTCTTCTCTGTGTGCTGCTTGTCATGTTATTGTGCATTGTTCAAGCTGTCAGTATGATACCTGCCAATACACAAATGTTTTGGAACTGGCGAGTTTTAACAGCCTTTTATTGAAAGAATACAAGGTCTAAAAAATTCTAAAACTTTATTGTGAAGTCTCTTTTTGCAATCCAATAAACATACACATAGTATTTTAACACAAAGCCAAGAATTAAAAAACATGCTTGATTGTGAAGAGTTCTTATAAGAAAAGTCATTAAGGTAAGCTATTGGGTATATCTTCATTTGGATTTCTGGCGCTTTAGTAAATGATATGGATTCATTGAATCCCAGAATGCTACTCTGCCTCATACATTTAATGGCAAGTTTTATTTCCTCTTATGTTTTACAGTATATAATTTCTTTTGCTAGATATAACTAGCTTTCAAAATCATAAAACGATTATTTAGTAAGCAGGAATTGTGATGAAGGACCCATAAACAATGTGATGGGAAAGGCATTATGAGCAAATGGTTATGAATATTGTCATTTGAGACTAGTTGTAGCTTTTTATGAGATGGTCCCTATCCTATTGCACACCTTAATAGCATTCTTGCTTTCTGAAGAACAAAATTTCTAGTTTTCTTCCAATGAAGACCTGTGGATCACTAATGAATAATTAAAAGTCTTGTGCAAAATATTCTCAAAAGCATTTCTACTCAACATGTACAAAGATTTTTCGATCTCTATTGCTTTTTGATTTCCCATGTTCTTTTCCTTCACTTGATTGGTATTGGTATCATAAATACTGTATCTCTACAGTACCTAAGAAAGTTGTCCATCCCATAATAGTTCAAGATGAAACAGGGGCACAGATAGCAAGACAAACACCACAAGGGTGTTAACCCTTCTCTGTGCTATCCAGAGTTTGTACACACACACACAGCTGACGTTACACTTAAAAATGTATCTGTTCTGACTTATATACAAATTCAGCTTAAGAACAAACCTACAACACCTATCTTGTTCGTAACTTGAGGACTGTGTGTGTGTGTATCAGTAGCTAGTCATTCTAGGATCCAGTGTGATATAGTGGTTTGGGTATGGGACTAGAACTGGGAGATCATGGATGCATCTATACTACAGAATTAATGCAATTTGATGCAGCTTTAACAGTCAACTTGAAAGACTGCCATTGGTCAGAGTTGAAGGTACATACCATGGTGGTGCTGCTGCTGCTGCTAGATCTACTTAAGAGACCTATACAAAAGTTTTTCTTACACACACACATTAGTAGAGAAGTGCTTCAATGAGAGCTAACAGTGATAGACAAAATACTAGTACTATAGCCCTTTGAGAGCTGGAATCAGTATTAACTAAGTGGCTTAAAGCCATGGCAGTCTTTGATATAAGCACAAAGAAACAAAAGCACCAATTCAATATAGAAACCCTCCTTAGCATCCAGCTTGGTGCTGTAGGGGACATAGCATAACAGTATGATTCACATGCCACCTTAGGTACTAGACAATACTGTCATTCTCATGCCTCATTTGTTTAAGTGAACATTTATTATTCTCGGCTGACAGTTACTTAACTGCAGTTTTTAGCAGCACAACTTATATAATCCTCCTGGTTTTTTTTATGCTCAGCAAAACAGAATTCATCCATTTAGAGATGACAGACGAAGTAAATCAATTGAAGAGAGAGAAGAGGAATATCAGAGGGTGAGGGAGAGAATATTTGCACAAGATGTGAGTAGCTGTTTTAATTGCCTCTTTAGTGCCATATCTTTATCAGTAGTCAGCCAGTATGCTCTCACTCTGACACTGGCAAGATTGCACTTTGTGGCAGGAGACAGTACAGGGATGTGTCTGAAGGGGAGGAAATAAAGTGCTTGATTTTTCAATTTTCGGGCTAAAATAGAGGTAGAAGCTTTTAAGAAATATGGTATCAGATTAGCTCTAATAGGGCAGGTATAGTACACTTTGTTGTCTTGTTTTTGTAAGTCTTAGTGTACATAGTACATGGATACTATTTTGTAAAAATTGTCTCTAAATATTGCTTTAATTTGGCCTTGCTGTGCTTCTCCTAGTTTTTCCAACTGTTCAAAAGAGAGACATGAGGGGAAAGAAGTTACATTTTTTTCTAGATAATTTACAAACAAATGAGAAATCTATGAACATGCAAACCATATTAGATTGTATGCAAGAAAATTGGGGGGGGGGACTGGATTATGGCATTGTGTTTCAGAATCATTGTCAGGTCAAGACATGGCTATTCCTTCTAGGATTAAGCTCTAGGAAAGTCAAATCTGTGAGCTGGAAATGGAAGCCACATTTGACAAGTAGCTTTGATATCATGACTCCTTGAAGCAGTTTTGGGCAATGGCATTGTAAGTGTATTCTCTTTTAGTATGTGCATCTTAATTTTAGGTGTGCATCTTAATTTTCTTTTTTTAAAAATGCTGCTGTTGGGTAAATTTTTAATGACGTAATCATATAGACCTAAATCCTCACAGCAATGCCAAGGTTTTTGTCCCCTCTCCAACATTAAAGTCCTTTGGAGTTATGAAGATGGTTGAGGAGAGAGCAGATTGCTCACTCCCCATTTAGACTAGATGCCACTGATGTGCTAGGCAACAGTTAGCGCTGGATACAGCTAATAAACAACATTTTAGACGATTTTTAGAAGTAACAAAAAGAAAATACTATATTCCACTCAAACCATGGAGTAATTATTTGAAGGGCAGAGTATTGTAATCTATAAAGACATATTTCAATTAGGGATTTGAATCCTGATTGGGTTTCTCATTCATCAGCATGATAATAAAGTGGGGAAGACGTTTTAAGAAATCTACTTGTCACAAGACAGTGGGACTTATTTTTCAGTCCCAGATAGATTCTATGCATTTTCAGGTACAGTTTAGTGCATTTATCTAAATGTGCAAAATTGAAAAATGAGGTGCCTATTGCTTTGTATAGTAAAATAAAATTAGTAGTGTTGGGCAAGTTCTTTGTCTTTTTGAGAAATTAGTCTGTTCTTTTATGTTTGTTTTATGTATGCTTAGCTTCAAAGAGTTCAAAGATAGTAGTTTTGCACACAGAATATTTTTCAAATGTAAAAAATATAACTGTAGTGAAACAAGCTTGATGTCGCACTAAGAGTAAGACCTTGCAAAGGGTTTGTTTGGCATATCCATCGCAGGCTGCTTTCTTGAGGTGGAACATCTAGCTTTCACCAAAACCTTAGCAAATGCAAAACAAAGCAAAAACAAAAACCACACCACCAGGAGTATTTTTTTTTTTTTGCTGTAAGCTCTTGTCTTTTGGTATAAATAGCAATATATTTTCTTATAAATGCCGACACTGTTAGTGATACTAGGGGATTATGTTGCTGTTGCTATTGCAGCTGCTATCCTGGCAGACAAAAACTTTTGATTTATTTATTTTTTTATAATTCAAATAGGCTTTCTGAAACTCACTGACCATTTGTAAGGAAAAGGATTTTAAGACTGTGTGTACTACCATTTTTACAGTGTGTGCTACTGTTGCTTTTTTATCCATTTGTGTTTTAATTTTGCTAAACTGCCATGATTCCAGTTTCTAGGGGGAAAGGTGGAATACAAAATGATGACGACAATGATGATTCACTTGCAAGGAATCTAAAATTGTGAAAATACTGCAAAGATTATCACAAGATAAGACAGCCCTGTTCACAATATTACAGCCTCATAGAAACAATACAAATAGAAAGAAATTGGGAGGGAGGTAAGCATTACAGAAGCTTCTTCATCTCTGCTTGATGAATGAGACCAAATTCATCTCACTGTTTTGTCAAAGAAAGATTCTTGCAGACGCTTTTTCTCTGGGTGGCCTGATATAAGGGACCAGGTTGTTCTGCCCCTTGCCAGGATGTTTTCCTGGGAAGTAAATGTTGAATCACACTATTCCCTTTGATGCTCCCATTGACTCACAAAGTAATCTCAGAGGGACAAATGTTTATTGAGCATAGACAGAAAAAAATGGGTGCATTGCTTTTTGGCCCTTTGACTAAGATCAAGTGTGTGCATAAGTATTTTAGTGGAAAAGACTGTACAGTAATATTTTGTGAGATAATAGCTTTTCTAGTTTCAAAAAGAAAAATATTGCAGTATGAGCTCATATGAACACATCAAGAGCACATCTGGAGCTAGATGCCATTTTTGAAAATTTATGTTTATTGTTTTGTTGTCCATGTGTTACTTTCTGTAACTATAAGGACCTTGCTTTATTGCAAATGTAAGCTTTAAGAAGGGAACCAAGATGTTACTATGGTTTAGAAAGAAAATAGAATACTTTGAAGTAATTTTTTTGCATTCTTAATTCCAATGAGTGCTAAAAAGGAAAGGGCTGACACAGTTTGCAAATTGAAAAATTACCATAGTTCATTGGCCATAGCATCAGTAAAATTTGTTACCGCATAAGATCCAATATTCAGATCTCTCAGTTTTGACTCAATGCCCTTCCCATTTCAGCAGAAATTGAGTGTATCATAGCATAGTAGGGAAGAGTGACCAACTCAGAGTCTTTAAACTTTGGGATCTAGGGTACACATCTGGAATTTTGGGATTTTGTGAGGAGTGCCCTAAAAATGTATGCTATGAGAATGTCAATAGTTGTTGTGGTTCCCATCTCCCACTATTGTGTTGTCATTCTGAAAATATATTCTGAGCAAATCAAAGGAAGAAGGCATGGTACCTTGAGATGACACCTTATTTTATGATCATCCAAAATGATCAAAAATTTATTTTATTTTATTTTCAAATGGGGGGGGTGAGAGGTGAGAAACTTAGCTGTAGGCTTAGTACATCTTCACTCTTGACAATTGGCATGTGTATAAAATTTTACAAAAAATTACATCAGGAGATGCATATTATGCAAATCAAACTCACAACAGAACAATTAAGATGATGTTGTCATTACTGCTTTGTATAATTTACATTAGATACAAGTCTTCTTTTCATGCTTTATGTCTCAGAAGCAGTGATGTAAGACATGCATAAAGATATTATCTGATCAAATTTTACTATCCTTTGGGTAGTCCATTTCATTTCGTATTACATAGGTCTGGAGACAGATTTAATTTACTTTACAGATGCAATACGATTCTTTTAATTTGTGTAGCTATAAGATATCTTATATAAATTTATAAACTATTAGCAAAATCTGTTTATTCACTTGCTAATATAAATCTAGAATGATGGTGATTTTTTTCAACCCCTGTTTTTGGATTTTCTTTCTGTTTTGATTGACAGTGAGCAAGTTTTTTCTTGGAGAATGCTAAAAAGAGTAAACAATATTGCCTAAGTTGCTTTTAAACAAAGACTCAACAGCCCTCTCTGTTTTGCTGTTTGTACTTTATCTGTAGAATACAAAATAAATAATTTATATACCGTAGATGCTTACTCATAGGATAATTGTGCCTTTATATTTTTCATCTATATAGATTCTAAAGAAATTGCTGAATCCATGTAGAAATGTGCTCTTTTTTTTCTTTTTTTAAAAAGATATTTCCTGGGGAAAAATTACATAAGGAAGCATAATTAAAATGATGGTTGTAAACACAGTGCCTGGAACCTAGGCTATTTTGGAGGTATATGGTAGCTATTGTTGTTGTGTGCCTTGAAATTGTTTCCAAATTACAGCACCCCTCAGGCAACCTATCACATGTTTTTTTGGGCAGAATTTCTTCAGAGTTGAGTTACTCTTGTCTTCCTCTGAAGCAGAAAAAAAGTGATTTGTCCAAAGTTATCTATAGGGTTTCTGTGGCCAAGTGGGGATTTGAATTTTGGTCTTCAGAGTCTTATTCCAATGCCCAAACCATTACACCACACTAACTATACTAGTTAGGAAAGTGAACACTTCATGGATGAAAACATGCAGCCTCAACTCTAACTTGTTATTAGAAAGAGGCTTCATTCACCAGTTGAAATTTTGTCTGCAATAGTACCCATGTTTGTAGGGAAGCTACATATCCATGTACGAAATGTGTGGATTTTTTGCTATTTGATTTGATATTAGGAATAAAAAGGCAAAACATAAGGAATACTATCATTACAGCAACCATTGCTTTTAAATTTAAATAGAGATTACGTTATGCTGTACGATAGCTTCTGCTTTGGCATAAGTGTAAGATGATGCTGTCAAGGAGAAAAGTGGCCAGACTGGCAGCTATGTAAACATAGTGGTTTTGGTTACATAACTGATGATGTGGGGATCAGTAATAAAGAACTGCAGAAGAACACATCAAATGTACCCTTTTGTCAAAAGAGTTGGCATTTTCATTTACTTAAAAATTTTTAATACATCAATGCAATATTCTTGTTGTGTGTTCTTAAGCAGCTTCAGACTCATCAGTTTCAGTTTTGACGTTAATTTGGGAACAGTATTCTTCAGCAATATGTACATTTTACTGCAAATTCCAATTAGGTGTGGCTTCTGTATTTGACAAATCTTTTGAGCTCAAATTACAAATTGACTGTGCATTTAGTTGACAACATAACAGCCTGCTCCAGCCTTGATAATCTTTGATACACCAGGTGTGCTCATGTGAGTGATGACACTAGACTATATATCAAGGCACATCAGTATATGGAGATACCTTTATGCTGTGTTGATGTTATTGCAGTAATGAAGGCAAATAAATTGAACTGGGCTAAAGGATATGCTGTATCTTCATCTCAATTTTTCAAGAGGAAAAAGGCTTTTAAAGA